ATTTGGTATATAAGTATATAAGCAAGTGTTAAACAGAATGAGCAACCAATTTTATCAATTTTTGTCTATTTATATCCCGACATTCCACAGAATCTGTGAGACTGCTAGTGCCACAAACAGATGCTCAGATAATAAGGTATGTCAATGAGCAACATTAGTGTAAAAACGTTTTCTTAAAGTATGTAGTGTTTGAAATAAGTCTTGAAGGATGAATCAAATTTGGGAAAAAATGCTTTAGAAATGCACAGTGACCCAATAGTCATTTATATGCCATCTGGTGATAGGGGGTGTTAATTTTCACAGCCTTATTTTTAATGATCTTATTTTTTAAATTAGGGACATATGTACATTCTTAAAAATATTTTTAAACTACCAAAACATAGTAAGAAGAAAATCACCCTACTACTTGAGTAAGGTACTATTAACATTTTGATGTACTTTTTCTTGTGAATTTTTTAAAAGTTGTGATCATCCATCTGTACAATTTTATATCCAGATTTTTTTCAGTTAAGATGTGAAGCTTTTTTCATGTTATTAAAAAAAAATCTATGGATATGGCATCTTTAAATCCTGCATAAAATTCCACTGTAAAGACGTATCAATCTATATACCAGTTCCCTTATTGCTATAGCTTATTGCTATTTAGGTTAAAGTTTCTAGTTTTTTCACTATTAGAAGCCCAAGATGAGCAGGGTAGTTGATGTTTTTGTTTCCCTCTGTCCATTTCACCCTCTTTGTGGTCCCCTGATCTTGTTCTATACTCAGTCGGCCGTGTGGTTTGGGGAGGATTGGCCCAGCTCCAGGACTGGTTTAAGTTAGCCAGTGTAACCCATGCTCTTGCCCATGAAGGCTGGGTCAGGGGATGGGCATATAACCATTTTAAAAAGTCGAAATGTTCCCATGACACTCTTTACTCAAAAACTTCATTTTCAGAGGCAGAATTACTATATGTGGCACCAGAATGCTTTCCAATGTATAAGATAAACACAGTCATAGCATACAATTCTTGTTGGAATCATTAAAGGGCACAGTGAGTGTGATTCAAGAAAAGAGAAAGAGATCTACTATTATAGCTAGGACAGAATTTACGTTCAAAGACAAAGCTGGTGAGATAAGAATTGGCATATAAAAGCAAGGTCACTGACGTTTAGGACACACACATTTTATAATCATACATTTCACTTACATATTTTAAATCCTGGGACAAAATGGCTACACTATATATATGTTAGAAATAATGCTGGACCACCACATATTGGCAGAACTGAAATCCTCAAGAAAAACAAAAGGTAGTTATGTGTGTGTCCTACATACAACCTCAGTCTATAAGCTCAGGAATGAGATAGGAATAAGGTAATCACAAAATAACTCAAAATCAAGGAAAAGTATCTACTGCTATCAGAAGAGACATACCAATTTTCACTGTCTAGAACCATATTCAAAGGCTGAAAGATATGGTCACTTTTGTGGAGTTTGAATGAATTCAGTGAATCCTAGGATCTTCGGGTCTTTGCTGACAAAAAGAGGCTTAAATGAATAAAAGTTCATGGATCCCTGCTTTCTTACCAAGTGACAAAACAGTGCTTATATCAGTAAGATATACAGATGCTCCTCAATTTATGACAGGCTTACATAAGTCAAAAATATCATAAATTGAAAATGTATTTAATATACCAATAAACTCATTATAAAGTCAAAAAACTGAAGTGGAACCATCTGTACTTATAGGGTTAGGGGAGGCTGACAAGGAGTTTGGGATCCCAGAGATCACAATAAAGGATCCAGTGGGAGACATTTAAGTTTGCTGATAATGTGAGACTTTAGACATTGGCATGCACAGAGACTTCTGATCCACATGCAATGGTGGACAAGGCTTTACTTTAAACTCAAGTCACTTGGCACAGTGTCTGTTGTATTGTTGCCTGCTACAATGGCTGGCAGGTTGCCAGTATTTTATAGTATATACTGCCTCTTGACATACTGAATAGCAGTTTTGACCTTTGTTAATAGGAAGTGGACACACATATTTGAAGTGGCTTATAAGAAATCTATTAAAAAATAGAAAAATACCAATAAAGCAGACACTGGAAATCTACAGATAGAATAGAGCAAGACCAAAGGAAGGGTTAAGGCATAGATATGAATCCACCCATTTCCTACAATGATCTACAAATTTCGCTTTGAGTTTCCTGCCAGCCAAGGCACAAAGATTAACATGAGCACTTAAGACATTCACGTTGTCCAAAAGAAATAGGGATATGTGTGCATTTCATGGGGGATGGAGAGGGAGGGAGATTTCCACATGTGAATATTTGGTAACTAGTTTCAGAGATCTCTAAGCTGCCATTATATTTAATAACATTTATTACTTTTCTTTATATGGCACTTAATACTTTGCAGAATAATTTCACATTCTTTAATCTGTGCAAAAATCCTGTGATGTAAAATTTGAGGGTATTATTATTTTATTTTTTTAGAGACAAGGTCTCATTCTGTCACTCAGGCTGGAGTGCGGTGGCACAATCACAGCTCACTGCAACCTCCAATTCTGGGGCTCAAGTGATCCTCCTGCCCCAGCCTCCCTAGTAGCTGGGACTAAGGCATGTGCCATGACACCCAGTTAATTTTTTTTTTAGAGACAGGGTCTCATTATGTTTCCCAGGGTGGTCTCAAACTCCTGGTCTCAAGCGATACTCCCACCTTGGCCTCCCAAAGTGCTGGGATTATAGGCCTGAGCCACCATACCCGGCCAAGGTATTATTAAAGCAATAATGTATTTTTCATTCATGCATCTAAGAACCCTGTCTAACTGGGGACACAACACAAAAAGTAGAAAGATCTTTGAGATACAAAGCAAATGGCAAAAATCCTCTCTCAGAACCTATAACCTGAAATTATAATAAGATTAATTTCCTTCCTAAAACCACAGTGGATTAAAAGTAACAGAAACTATTACAGAGGGGCACTCTGAAAGGCCTCAAATGGCTACACAGGAAAGCAGAGACAAGAACTAAAAGCAAACAAAAGAGTAGTTAGCACACAAACTGAAAACCCTAAACACTCACCAGTAGGATAAGCCAGGATGTGTTAAGGGGTCTGACCCCTTCCACCCTGGACCTCCATGAATTAGTTCTTCACACGCTATCTTAGCGATCTTTCAGGAACCCAAATGTGATTTTGCTGGCCTGCTCAGTGACTTTCCGAGCTCCAAGCTCCTAAGATAAAATCCTTATTTAAAAGAGGCCACAAGGTCTCCCTCAGGTTCTGGCTGCAGCCTGCCTCTCCGGCCCTACCTCTCCTCAGCCCCACCTGTTTGGACCTTTTCACATTTTCTCCTTGCTACCTGGAAGTGTCTCACTGCTGCCTCTCCTGGGCAACCTGAAATGTCATTTCCTTAGAAAGCCTGACCTGGTCGTAAAGTCTAGATTAGGCTCTCCTGTGCACCATTGGCGCCTTTGCAGCTGAGAACTCATCACAGTTGTACTTAATTAGTCTCGTTGTTTAGTACCTATTTCCTCCAGTGTACTGTGAGCTCTGATGAAACAAGGACTGTGTCTGGCTTTATTATATGCTGAATATTTACTGGAAAAAAAAAACAAGTCAGTAATGTCACAGGATAAGCATGATACATCTTCCTGGTATATAGTATTTAAATTTTACTAAAATATCTTTTTGGGGAGGGAAGGCTATCATTTTCTTTATTAAGGTAAAAAAAAGGATTATAAAGAAAAATGGAAAATTCATATAAATTTTAAAGCTAAAACAAGACTTCCAGAATGCTTCAGGCTACGCCTCCAGACTTTTCTAGAGACATTGTGTTTAAAATAATATGGAAACACAATGTGGTAAATGATCCATTTCACAGAGGATCAGGATAACCAGGGTTTATCTTCATTATACCAGATGAGAATATGTGTATAAAGAGGGCTTTGCAAATTATGAGGCTTTGTGCAAATATAATATTATTATTGAAAAATCCGTGTCCCCAAGAGGGGGAATGATTTGGCTATTACATCGCCAATTACAGGTGGGGCTGGCTCCAGAACCCAAGCCCCCGGGGGCCTGTCTAGCTTACTGCTTTTCATTAACGCACAGCACCTGCCACCTGGTCCCTGCTGCAAACGGTCACCTCCTTCCCAAGCTAGGAGCCATATCTGGGGCGGATGGCTTATGCCAGCCTCAAAGACATTTATACGTTTTGATCAGCCAGAGTGAGAAGCGGGTCGGAAAACAAGCCGAGCATTTCCCAGCATCGTAATCCAGGGGTTTTCCGGCGGGACTGGGCAGCTCCCCTCCAGGACTGCAAACCCGGCCAGCTTCGCTCTGGCCCAAGCCCGCGTGGCTCTCCCCCTTGCGGCGACAACGCAGGACTGCAGCGCATTCCGGAGACACTATCAAATCTTTTTAGGAGCTCAGGCAGTATTTAAGGGGCCTGGGAAGCGGGAAAGCTCGGGAGGAGCTAAGGAGAGCCAGCACAGTGCAGGAGTCGATGCTGCTGCCTGGCTCCGGGGTCCTGCGGCGCGGCCGGTTCCTATGCGCAGAGGTTGGCCACCGCTGCCGCTCTGGAAGCCGGGGACCCACTTAGGCTGCCGCCGAGGAGGGCGGAGGTCCCCGTCAGTCCCCTCGGGCGTGCAGCCGCTTTTCCCCCTCCGTGCGCCCGGTCGGGAGCCAGAGCGCGAGGCCGAGGAGCGCAGGCGGGGCTTGCTAGCCGGAACCCGGGCGCGAGAGGCGCGGACGCCCGGCCAGCCCACCCCCGCGGGGGAAAGGAAAGGGCGCTCCTGCCGTCCGCCCGCCGAGGACGCCGGCGCTGCCGGCTCGGGCTCGCGCGCGGCGCGCGCACGCGGGTGGGCGTGGGAGGCAGGGGCGCTACTAGCAGGCGGCGTGCGCGCGCGCGCTCCCCCCGTGCGCCCTCCCTCGCAGGCCGGCGGGCCGGGCTCCGGCGCGCGTCACGAGGAGCCAGCGAGCGGGCGGGGAAAGGGGGTGGGGCCGCGGGACCGGAGGGGTCCGAGCGGCGGCTGCGGACCCGAGCCGGAGCTGGGCGAGGGCGGCTGCGGTGCCGGCGGCGGCGGCGGCGGTGGCGGCAGCGGGAGAAGATGGTGGCGCTGGAGGTAGGAGCGGCCGGAGCGGAGCTTTATTCCCAGGCTTGGCACCGACGCTGTCATTAGCGCCGCCTGCTCCCGCGGGCCCGCGGACCCAGCTGTCAGGCAAGGTACCACCGCCAGGGAGGGGTGGGTGGAGTAGGGGGTGCCCGGTGCTGATGCCGCCCCCGACGGAGCCCGGTCCTCGCTGAAGGGCGCCCCCGGGCGCGAGAGGGGCTACATGGAACAATAGTGCGGATGAGCAGGGACAGCAGGCGACATCCAGGGGGCAATGCCTTTAGCCGTGGAGCCGGCGAGGCGGGGGCACGGGGCGTTGGGGGAAGAGACGTCTGGTGCGCGCTGCACACTGAGATATCGGGGGCTTGGGGACAGCGATGGGGCCTGATGACAGTCATGGCAGGACTGTGTGTGAGTGTGTTTGTGTGTGTGTAAAAGGTACAGAAAGGGGATGGCGGTGGCAGTCCGGAGCTGTTGGGGGTGACATTTCCAGGAATCCCTGCTAGGATTCCTCATCTCTCAGCTGACTCTCCAGGAGAAAGAATGTGAAGATGGAAACGGCGAGGTGGGCAGGATGCACTTGGTGTGTGAAGTGTGGAGGGCAGCGGTGGGGTAGGGGCGGGTTTGTGAGATCCTGTGTAGGTGTGTGTACGCATGTGGTTGCATCCACGGTCCCCAAAGTGCGCCCCAAACCCAGACATCTGCCTGCGCCCTGACTCGATGTCACCAGCTAAGACCGTGGGACAGTGTTTATTATTTTGACCCTACAACTCTGAGTACAGTCTCTGTTCTGCTCCGGAGTGTGGACGGCCCAGTGTAGGGTTTCTCGCTTCCCCTTCCTCTGGCCTCATGACATGGGGATGTGGAAGTGGGCATGTCGCTTTTAGACACATGGCTGTGAAATAAGATAACGGTCATACATTCTGGGGTTGCTGGTGTCCCCAGTTTTGAAGGGAGCTTCCAACCGGTGATATTTCTTTTCTCATTAGACTGTGTTTTGTAAGAGTCTTGGACTCCCTGACTCTGCAGTTTCTATTGTTTTTCTCTTGTCTGATCCGAAGGAGAAGGGTCTTTAATGGCCAGAATCCTCTCCCTGTCCCCACAACTTCGAATGCCTACTAGACCTTCTCCTCCATATTTAAACACTGAATACCTTGTGGCTGAAGGATGGGTGGTCTTTGTGTTGGTTCTTTTAGTATGAACTCTGGAGATGTGTATATATAGAGAGACTGGACAGGTCTTTAATAAAGAAGAAAAAGATCGTACTGAGAAATGTTTGGTGCCCCTTGCTCAGCATTACAGTCAGGGCGTTTTCTTTAGAGAATGGGATACTTTCTGCTGCTGGTGACATGCACTCTCTCAGCTTTCACAATGGCTAGGTGGTGCCGTATCATTTGGGAACTGAAATCTCCCAAGACCCACGGTTATGGGGTCCCAGGTCAGTAAAGTCCCTGCTTTCCTACCCGATGTAGCCCAGTAGTAGGGAATTTAGAAAATGTCAGATTGGCAGTAACTCACCCAGTGAGAACCAGGACACAGAAATGAATCCGGACTCTCTATAGCTGCTTAATTGTCTCTGCGTGATAAAGATAGGCTTGTATAGGGTTGGACAGAGATAGGAAGGGAAATGGCACATTCATGTGTGTCCACGACAGTTTGACTCCCTGTTGCCTGTATTTCTCCTGCGGTATTCATAGGAATGAGTGCACTTTACACTTCCTATCTTGATACTTCTTTATTAAAATGTTGTATGACTAGATTAACCTGCTTAGACCATATTATAGTCATAACACCTTAAATTCTACTGCATTGCCGTCAGAACCTGAACTAGCTGCCCCAGTCCTCTTTGAAAATCCTGTAGCAGTCATGACTACACAAGTAAATAATACAACATGTTGGCAACAGAGATTTTTCTTTTAAATTTAAGAAATTTTGTTTTGTTTTTTGGCAAAGATTGCATGATATCATTGTTACATTGAAAATAATTAAAACTAGGGGCTATCTACATATGCATTTTTCTTCCCATTTCTCTTCTCTTAAATTAATGATGATATATAGACCAGGTGCTCTTGAGCTGTCAAGGTAAAGTAAATTTTCCCATGTTCTTCAAGTTAAGACTTCTAAAATTTTAATATGAGGTTGTTGAATCTCATCCAAGATTTAAGGATAGATTTATAAAAATGAATTTTGAATCTTAGTTCTTTACTCACTTATTAGCTCTGCCAAATATCTTTCTGAGAAAAGTACTTATGGAATTTCAAAGCCATTCTAAGAGGTTTTGGCTTTAAAAGAAATAAAAAGTCATCATCTTTATATTTGCAAGTAAAACCAGACATGTAAATGTCTTATAAGAAACTTTAAAGATATTAGGAATTTACCAAGGTAAATAAATTGGAGAAAGAGGAATTATACAGTAGCATAATCGATGACTCGGAGCTAGTGATCTCCTTTCTAATGTAAAGGTGATAATTTTGAAAATGCAGTGCCTGGCCTTTCTAAAGAGTGGACTGATAAGGTTAATGATACAGCTCAAATCCTGTAATTCAGTCTGGTAAAGGATTGTACCTTTTGCTGTGGCCTGCAGCAAGCCATTTATTTTGCGTGGATGTCTTTCCTTTACTTAAGATAGCATTAATGCTTTTCTTTTCCATTATTGAGCTTCTTGAAGAAGTTTGTTTTTTTTAGAAGACTTGGGAGTAAAAGACATTTGAAAATTGACCTGTGGGACCAAAAGGGATAAATTGTGGTGCCATGGGGAGATAAGATTTTTATTTTACACAGAAGAAGTAATTGTTGCTAAAACTGAGAAAATTTCAAGCACTAAAATCCAAAGTTAACCCTCTGGATTACAATAATTAATTTACAAATATTTGTTAATTGCCTTCTACATCTCAGGCACTGCATATCTTTGGACAGGGGACAGGGAATGTTGAGAAGGGTTAGAGATTCAAAGAATGACGAGATTTAGATCCTGTCCAGGGATAGTTCATGATCTAGAAGGAGAAAAGAGGCATGTATGTTAACTAACTATAAAAATGGCAGAAAATGGTTAAGTGCTGAAAAAGCAGTATTCCTGCAGTGCTGTGGGAGTTCACAGGGTACAGCAATGACTCCTGATGGAAGAATCAGGGAAGCTTATATGCTATGGAAGACATAGCATTCGGGCTCGGGTTATACAGGTGGCATTTGGGATGGCAGAGAAGGAAGGACATTCTTGGGGAAGGAAGAGCTTAGCAAAGGCCTGGTGATAGGAAGGTGTGCGCTACGCAGGGTAAAGAGAATAGTGTGCTTTGGCTGGAGTGCTGGGAATGCCAAGAGATGTAATGAGAGATAAAGCAAGAAAGAGAGGTGTATGCAAGGTTTGAAGGAACTTGTATGCCAAGGTAAGGAGTGTGGATTTTATTCAGTAAGTGCTGGGGAGTGAGAGAGGTTAGCGCTACAAAGAGATTTGTAAATCATCTACTTAGAAGCATTTTTATGTCCCAGGAATCACTGATAAAGAAAATTGGGGAGAGAAGAAGCAAAGGATAATGGTAGGATCCTTGAGGAATGTTTATATGTTGGAGAGGAACAGAGAAAGAAGAAGATAAGAACCATATTAAACTAGGGCCAGCTGTATAAAAATGATAGGAGTAGAGTAGCACAGTGTCATGGAAGCTGGGAAGGGTGAGGGGAGCCCGTCATTCATGCAGCACACCCCGTGACCAAGGGAGTGACCAAGGCAAAGCCACTGCCTGTAGCTCCTGGCTTTCCTTGTACCTTTGAGATGGGTGGAAGTGGCCCCTGGGGATAAAGGGTTGCAGGGATAGGGGAAGGAAAATGGAAAGCAGTGAAAACGACTTCCTTTTCAGTAAGTTGGGATGTAAAGGAGAAGGTGAGAGAGTATGAAGTATCAAATGAATAGCATAGTAGAGGGAAAGTAGTGTTTTTAGTTTAGGGAGACTTGAGCCTACTTTACTAACTGAGGAGAGGAATCTATTGAGAGGGAGAGAGACTGAAAATATAAAGGAAAATCTAAATTGATGGAGTATTGAAAATGATGGGAGAATACCCAGATGAAAGCAAAGGGAGGACTGTTCTGAGACAGAAGCATAGGAATTTTAAGGTGAAAAGAAAGGAATTTGGCCACAGTTTTTAATGGAAAGTCTAAAGAGGGGTGGGCAGGTTCAATTAGGGGTGAACAGCAGATTATCACCCAACTATGAGGGCCTCCTGTGTTTAAAGAGCATGAATTTGTAGTGGAATGAATTAGTTCCTGAAAATTGGAGTTTGACAACTACTTAGGTAATTTTTGGAATAGTGAGCATTTAATGTTGCTAAGTACAGCGGTTCTTGATTCCTTAAATGCAATGAATAGAGAAGAATGTTTATCTGAATAAGACACTTTATCTGAAGTATTTCCTGTGAACATTCTGTCTGAGAGATCACTGAGTTAAGTTCATAGTAAAATAATGGGGAAAAACATAAGTGTTTTTTAAAAGATGAGATTTCCCTGTCTATCAAGGCATGATATGACTTTACAGTGGAGAGTAAAGTTGATTTTCAAAAGAAAAATGTAGCTAGCATCTTACCAACACTGTACCAATTATATGCACTCAATGTATGTTCATCGCATGAATGCATGAATACATATTTTTAGTCAGCTTAGTATAGTATCTAAGATCTAAAATTTAAGGATTACTTTCTTACACACTGGACATTTAATGAGTCACATCCTGTGGTCTATATAAGTTTATGATAGAATTAAAACTATTTAATTTATTCATGCCTGGTATATACATTGAAGCTTTACCAAAAAAAAAAATCCTACTTTTTTCCACAAAATGATTGTATACCCTTTAGACCCGTGAGTTATGGGGTTGTGTCATGATTCCAGACGAATTTATGGAACTTCAACTGTGGTGAGTGATGTTTTTGAGGTTCTAATGATGAGATTTATTCATTATTTCAACAGGTATTCATTGAACACCGTCTCTGGACCAGACACTATTCTATGTGTAAGGGATACAGCTGGGGGGGGGGAGGGGGAAGTCCCTAATAACACAGGGCTTTTAGTGGGAGGAGACTACAAATAAATAAGCAAATACATAATATGTCAGGTGGTGGTAAGTGC